CAGATCGCGAGATAATGTAAAACACTGTAATTATAGAATTTCCTCATTAATTATGCAAATAAAGTCCTCATTTGCATAATTTACATTTAATTATGTACATCTCTCTCTCAGCTACCTACACACCAAAAATAATGAAAATATGTTGTTCCTGTCTGGACTTATTGGCTTTTGAACATTTCACCAGAAAGTGCCCTGCAGTTCCAGAACAAGCCGCTAGGGGGCCCAAACTCATATGACTTCTTCCCAAGCACGAGAGCTACCTTCCATCAAAATTTCATGACCCTAGCATGTCCAGATCGTGAGATATCAAAACCGGAAGTTGCGCTGCAGTACCAAGGGAAGCCACTAGGGGGACCAAAATCTCATCATTTCCAGTTTTCGTCACACCCTACCAACACACCAAGTATGAAACCCATCCATCCAGGCGTTCTTGAGTTATCTTGTTGACCAACAGACAGACGGAAGGACGGACAGATAAACGCAACTGAAAATATAACCTCCATGACACATTTCATGGAGGTAATTAGATGAAATTAGAGCAAATTAGAAAATAGATGATTATGGAAATTTTGCTTCGTAGTTCACCATTGTATAAGTAGTAAGCCAATTTACTAGACATTCACTGCTCCCTTTACCTGAAGGGGTTCCAGTTTGGTTGCCAGCTAACCCATCACTGTTTCCACTCGTGTCTGTAGGGTGGAAGCACAGCAGTATGTTAACCAATGGATTACAAGTGATTGTACAAAGTTATGTATTGCATGATAAAGGACACTATAGAGATGAGCAAGTATGACAGAATTACTTAACATGAAGAGGTGGCAGATAAATACATTTAGTTGATGTCTGAACAATGGATTGCCATGTTGAATTTTCTAACGAAGAATGTATAGTAGGTAGCTATATCTACTTACTGTTGAATGATGGTGATGACTTAATGTTGAATGATGGCGATGACGCCGTCCCTGGTCCAGAGCTTGCTGAGAAAGTTGACCTCTGTGGGGCCGCAGACGTAATGCCCTCCATGGTCACGGTAGTTGATTTGGTGGAACTCAAAGGATACGTGGCCACTGGTGTGCTTCGTGTCGTCTGCATTATGGTTGTAGTTGTTATCTGTGTTGTGGTTGCTACGAAACAAAGAGTATCATATATTCAGTCAATTGTTATTATAGTGTTATGATAAATTTAGATGAACCCAGTATAATGATTGACCACGCTTTCTACGAGTATAAACCCTGTTTTCCGGGTGATTTTTTTGGGGTCAGGAGTTAAGCATTTTAGCGATACGGCATCAATCTAACCATGATCATTAGGGAAATAATGCATGTAACCCATGTAACCACCAAAAAGGATGAAATATATGCTATTGTAAGAAAAAAATATCTGTCACCTGAATTATTGTAAGTTTCCATATAGTCTAGTACGCCATCGCCTAGGCAAGGTAACGGATACGTTTTAAAGTTCAAACAAGCCCTTTTCGGGTTCGATACCGCGGCCGGGTGACGTCATGTCCTTAAAAAAGAGAAAGTCACTTACTTTGCAGATCGCACCCAAGAAGTTCTAGACGAAGGGCAATTCTCCACCGCCAGTCCGTCGCCATCAGCCTGATAAACCGTGCGTTTATTGGTGGTTCAAAGTTGTTGGTCTTCACACCGTCTGCATCGGTGTTACCGTCAAAGATCTTTTAATGCAGAAAGATATGAGTAAAAAATTAAATGTTAGATTGGAAAACTCTTCTGTGTTGCAACCGGGCAGATTTGATGCCAACAGCTATTTATTTTTAAAAAGTTCCCGTCGATATGGATAAGGCACAAGCAGTGGTATTAACTGAAAAAAAAATACGTTACTACATAGGTTGTAATAATATTCTGCAATCAACCTGTTTACAATAGACTCAAATACACCCCACAGATATTCAAGCGAAAGACACGTAGAATTAGAATTAGACATTATCATATCACCTTAACTTTTACCGCTACCTTATGATACGTACTTTGTCGGATCCGCTCTCCTGAAACGTTACCAAGTGTGCTTCATTGTTGACATCTGAGTACAAAACCTTGAATTTTTTCACATAGTAATCAATGGTACCGAAAGTCCAAACGTATTGGTGGCCCTGGGTTTTGATTCCTGTAATCTGCTTTTTAACCAACAGATCAACCTGCAACCACTCGTCAGTATCGTATTGGGCTGGGTACCAAGCTCCATCATCATTATTAAGACGGGCTTCTTCAGGAGGATAACTATTGCCCCAGGAAGTTGAGCGGAAAGACGACGCTGTCAGTTGACTGTCCTCTATGGCTCCTGACTCCATTCCAAGCGGAGCAGAACACTCTGAAAAAGAGAGATCATTTGACTTGAAGCGTCTTAGTTCACAGGCCTGTACTCCGTTACATATGACTTTATAATACATTTAAGCAAGGTAATGTGAAAATATTTACACAAGCATGTACGTAGCTCTTGCCCAATAAAGGCGTGAACGTGAATGGCGATGAGTAAATACCAAATTTCTCTCATATGGCGGTCAAAACAGAAACCTCACGAGACAGAAGCCAAATGTGTATACAACTAACTCCAGCTCAGTCTAAAGCCTGGTCAGTTTGTTCGCTGTATACGTAATAATGGGGAAGTGAGTGACTCAAAATCACGCCTGATCAAAGTCTGATTCTGTAAGTGTTTAAGTGTTTAAGCAGAACCCAACAAAACAACACTACGTACGTTAAGGTTACAGCAAACTTACCTGTCCCGAGAACCATTCTCAGAATGCTGGCTTCTAGCAGGAGTTGAAGGATCATTTTCAGGTGCGGTTTCATGGTAGATCGAGGAAAAGCTAAGACTGGGCAACGTAAGTGTTCGAGTCAATTTCTGCAAGTTTGAGGAAGTAAGTTGTTCTCGCAGACTGGTTACACCACAAATTAAAGTCACGTGATTGCGAGGTCAGGGACGGAATGTTCCATTGGACAGACAGGGGGCACCAGCATATAGTACTAAACAAGGGGAACTACGTGTACGTGTCATCAATATCAATACATTTGCCTAAGGACAGTGGTTAATTAAAGCTGCGAAATGAGTATTCGAGGATTGGCTGAAGTATATCTAGAAATACATAAATATTTGTGACTCCAAATAGCAAACGCATTGTAGTTGCACCCAACCTAGGAATACGTGTTTCTTTTCAGACTTAAGCTTTGTGACAACATATACAAAACTAGAAAGGCCGACATTTGCTTTGGAGCAAATGCAGCATGCATATGGCTTCATAATTCACTACATTTTAGGACATGGCAGGGAAAGAAGGAGAAAATACAAGGGAAAACAATTCTTTACATTGATATAACTATAGTATGAAGTGACATATAACTACAAATTCAACAGTTGGACAGCTATCCCCTACATTATTGATTAGTATTTTTATTTGCATAATGCAAACTGTTGATTTTCAAGATAGAAAAGGCGTTTATGCCCCACATCCCAATGCTTGAGCAGAAATGTTTGACATACCTCCCCCAAAACACAATAAATCCATAACAATTAAAATCTCACATACGTCCCCCTCGTCTTAATTTTACCACCTCACAGTCTGACTATGGAAATATTGCCTGAATATAAACATTCTTCTCATAAAATATCACCGAACGCAACTGCTATATAAAAATAGCGAATACCCATTGTACCAGCCTTGCATGTTGTCTAGCATCTGCATGTACAGCTAGATATACAGACTAGAAGTACGCTTTAGGTGAGAATTCTTCTTGTATACAGATTAACCTATTAGTAAGCTTTCTACATGTAACTTCCGTACAAAACTTTCGTTTATAACATTTTTGATCGTAGCTTGATTATAACACGACCTACTAAACAGACGAAGATGATAGAAAAGGAAGACGACACACACACACCAAAATTGGGTAAATTGGGTTTATTTTTGTTTGTATAAATTTGAATATTTCATAGCAAATACCTTTGGAACAGAAAAAAAAACGAAGAAGAGATCCACATGCAACATAATTACAATTTCAGATGGATCACCGAAAAAATACCTAGCCTTAAGATAAATAAGTTTTTATAATCAATTAGACCATGAACATGGCATATGCATACACATAATGTACATAAGAATAGAAACTATTGTCACAGCATTTTATACCTCTATTGCTGAAAGATACCGCCATCGACATATTTATATACTTTTAATAAAAATAACTGTCAATAACTGAAACGATGACAATTTATTACATAGACTTTAAAAGAGGAGTCGTATGGTACACTTACTGCATATGTGATAATACTAATAATGCTATGACTAATTTTGATACTTTGGAGTGCTATAATATGGTGTCTACATCGTTTGTACATTTGTAGCAATCGCAGCTACGTAGTCTTAAAGTGGTTCAGTGTGTCTTGTCCGAAAGACAGTATGAAAATACATTAAGTAACTCAGAAAATATTTCTAAGATTCTTACTCTCGATTCTTTCCCAACTTCACGTATCTGTTTTTAGATATTACTATGTTACATACGATAGTTTCAGATACGTGTACGAGTTTCCATTTATTCGGTTATTTCGAGAGAAATATGTTGTATAACATTCCGTCGGCGGACAAGTTGTCATATATTGAGCTACTTGTGTGTGAAGTTGTGCAAAGTGAACTAATATTGTATTAATATTAATACTTCTCTATGTCCTCAGGGCCATCAAATGTTGCCTTTGTATCAAAACAAAGTCTACCTCCATGGAGTTAAAGTAGCGTCACGTCAAATATACCCTAGGAAAAAAGCGCAAACCCTGGATAGAAAACACCTATTGAACGCCACTCCAGACAACCATTCAATACACCGATCCATATAGCCGCATAAACAGATTTGGGAAAAACATATGAATGCAAAAAATTGACGGACGCATTCAGCTACATTCATGTACAAACTCTCTCTTTTTCGTTCTCTAGACTGCTGGTTTGATTGGACTGTCAGAATGGGTCAAGAGACAGTCCATAACAATTAAAAGTTCAACCAATGAGAGAGTGGCAATTTACTGGTTCGACCAATGAGAGAGCGGCTGTCAGGTCGGTCTTTAGAAACGATCCCAAATGTTCATCACAATTAGAAGTTCAACCAATGAGTGAATGGCAATCACCGGTTCGACCAATGAGAGAGCGGCTGCAAGTCCGCCAATAGTTGCATTTCTTTGTTTCGACGGAGGTGGGCGGGGCTTCAGGATCGGTGTATTGAAGAATGCCCTGTGGTGGGAGAATGTTCGTTTTGCAACATCTAACGGCACCTGAGGAACATGCAGTCTAAGATAAATCCGCTAAGTGGCGTTAATACTTCTCGGAATGGCAGTTTGGATTATTGCTGACGGAAGTTTCCTGACTTGTACCGATCGATTCACATGGTTCTCAAAAATATTGTACATCATTCCATGGAAAGACAAGATTAATTACCTATTAATTCGCTATTAGAATTCAAATTGCATTGACTTTAAACATAATAAAGCTAATTCTTCCCTCAAAGCTCTCAGGGATGACTATTTCCTTCCCAATAAAATACTGTCTTCACTGTATACGAGTATAACGGTATACTGGTTATACTTCACGTTGTGTTAATGTTCAGTCCTCGGCAGATTTGATCTCCTTTGCCGAAGGTGACCGCTGTGTCTCGATGGCGGACTCGATGGCCTGCACGATAGTGTCCCGTGCCGCGGCCTTCTGTGGATCGGGAGCAATGTTCTCTCTCTCCGGGCTGGACAGCTTGCTCGAGTCGGTGCCATTTTTCGGGACGGTGAACGATGCAATAGTGTTCCTCCTCGGCACGGAGTTGCCTGACTTCGCGGCTGGTGTCGTGGAGCCACCGGGACCTCCTTGATCGAACTTGCTCAACAAGTGTCCAACCTTCCCGGCAAACGTACCCGGGATGCGCTTCGGTGGCGGAGCCTTGTCGAACTTCGGTAGGCTCAGTTTCCGGGGGACCGGCAGGCCATTCCTGGTCTCGGCACTGCTCTGTGTTTTCGCTCCCCCTGGCGAGACTTTGTGGAACGACCTGACGGCGTCCTGATGATGTTTGCCGTCGGCTTCGGAGAAGGTCTGGCTGCTGGGCCTGGAGTCCCGCCCGCCGGACGTGATGGAGTCGGTGTCCGTGATGTCCGACTGGTCGAACGAGGAGTCGACGCTGGACTGCGGGCTGTGACACGTGTGCGCTGACGGCTCATCCAACCCCAGGCTGTCTCTCCTGCTGCCAATGGCGCGGAACACTCCCGCACTTTCTCTCGCCGGGCTCCCGTTGCCCTCTCCGTCCACACTGCCCACCTTGTCTGCCACGCTGTCGATGTTCGAGCTCACGGTAGACTCCGTCTCGAACCCTTCGTCGTCGTTATCCAGGTCGCTGTCGCCGTTGTATTCGTCACCCGGAGTGGTTTTCTCCGGAGAGACTTTGTCACTGATGTCCTCCGACCTGGGTCTGGACGACCTGCCGCTATCGGAGGAGTACTTCGCCACCAAGGGAGCGTGGGTGGGCTCGAGTGACCCTCCGTGTTTAGGTTCATCAGTCCAGTCACTCGCCTTAACGTTCTCACTTATGCGCGCAAGTCTTTCCTTCAGTCTCTCCTTTGTCCGGTCATTCTGCCTGACCGCTGGCTCAACCGCTGAAGTAGTATCGAAGTCACTTGTAGTCCATCGTCTGTTTTGAGAGCTACCCGCCGGTGGGACGTCATAGTCGTCTTTACTGATTTTTCTCTCCATGAAGTTTTTCAGTCTCTTCCCGACCGAGCCTGGTTCTTCTGTTACCTTCTTCATGGCGGTTTCGTCGATCAGACTGGTCCACCGCCGGAGCAGGGCTGGTTTGGGTTTCGGTATCTCCCGACGCGGAGACTTATCCTCTTCCGCAGTCTCCTTCTCCTCCTTGATACTCTTCATGCCCGACCGTAACACGACGTCCACGTCCTTCGGGTCGACGTCAGTTCGCGACCGCCGGCCGAACCTGTTGGCCACCCTGATCCCGTTTCCGGTAACGCCCGTCTGGCTACCGTCGTCCTCCTGAGTTTGACTCTTCTCGTACCGTTTCATCCTCCCGCGAACACTTCCGAAGAGCGGGCGGGAAGATTCTTCTTCTTCCCCCTCAGAGTCCTGCCCACTTGTTGTGGTCGTGAGGCTTTTACCCGACTTTTCAACCGTACTCTTGTCGTCCTCCTTCGTCTTACTTATGGCTGCTTTAATGTCCTTGACGTCTACAGACCCCCTGGCACTCCGCCGCCTGCGGTCGTGCACACCGCGATCACTCTTCTCCGTCAGTTTGGCCACCTCCTGACTCACTCCCACACTCTCCGAATCTTTCGACATTTTAGTCTCGTGCTGTTTTATCGCGAGATCTACCTCTGTTCTGTCCACCGCGCTGCGCCATCTCTTCTGCACGGGCGCCCTGTCCTCCTTCACGTGCATGGTTGACACAACCGTCTCCTTCCCCTTCTCCTCAGCACCACTCTCGTCCTTCTCACCGTAAACCTTCTCCCGCCATCTTTTCGCGTACTTCGATTCTTTCACTTCCACCTTCTTCTCCTCCTCAGCTCCTTTCTTCTCCACCGGTTTGTGTATTGCACTTTCCCTGCCTTTCGTCTCGTGACTTCTCAAGGCAACGTCCACCTCTCTCTTGTCCAAGCTACTTCTCCATCTCCTTCCTAAACGATCGCGAGTTTTGACGCTATCCTCATCAGTACCACCTTTGTTATTGTCACGTATTTCCTCCTTGATTTTTCCTTTCAAACCGTCTGCGGTAATCTCGATTCCTGGCTTTTTATTCGCGGAACTTTTGTCCTGAGTCTTGCCAGGGAGGTCCTTTTTCTCGGTGTCTGGACTGCGGACCCTGACGGCACCCCCGGGGAATGCTTTTGTCCTCCGGGGGGACTCGGGAATGTTCTTTGGGGTCTCCTTTCTGTTGGAGACCGACGTCCGCTTGTCCGACCTTCTCACGGGTTCAGGCGTACTCCCCCGGCTGTCGTGAGGACTCGAATCCAAGGACGAACTCTGAGAGCTACCGCGAGACCCGTCAAAATGCCTCCGGCGACTATCAAAATCAAACTTCCGAACTGCTGAGTTGATTTCCTTCGAATCTAGCGAACTTCGCCATCGTCGCTCCTCTCTTCTTTTCTTCAACCGTGCATCAATGTCATCTGTTTTAGTGCTTGCTTTGTCTCTATATGACTTCGACAGCGGCTCTGCCTTGATTGCTTTTTCTACGTCTGTGGATTTATAAGACCTCCGCCACATTGGCTCTGTAGTACTAGTAGTCGTGCTGGGTCTATCCTGAAGGGTGGAAGTCCGTATCAAAGTTGAATTCTTCGGTTTGATTAGATCTCTCTTCGATTTATCGAATGATCTCACCGCCTTATCCACCTCCCTGCTGTCCACGCTACTGCGCCATCGTCTGCTGGTGGCAGACCGGTCACTGACGTTCAGAGGGCTGGCCCTCACGCTCCGTTTGGAGGCAATTTCTCTTTCAGGTTCTTTGGTGTCGAGTTTCTCAGACGAAGTCGAAGCCTTTTTCCCCTTCGCCGGAGATGTAACGTTCTCAGGCTCCTCCGGTATCGAGGACTGCATAAGTTCTGAGGATCTCCTCTTACTCCTCTCGGAGCTGCTCTCCAACTTGGAGAAGCTGGATGTTTTTCTAGGTGAAGACGGCTGCTCGGGGTTTGCAGCTTCCCATTCCTGCATTGCAGTTCTCCATTTCTTCGGAGCTGGTTTCGTTTCTTTGTCCTCCTCTTTTGTCACGTCTTTAGTAGTTTCTTTCGCTTCGGCGGCTTCTTGTTTCGCAGCCCATTGCCTGAGAGCAACGTCCACCTCCCTACCCTCTACCGTACTCCTCCAGCGGCGGCCTGGCGTGCTGGTCTCCCGGTCGTTAGTTTCTTTCAACCGGAGATCAACGTCTCTTATCCGCCTTCGTGCCGGCCTGCGCGTCTTCATCTGCGCGCTGTCGAGTTTGTTCATCAGGTCACCGTTTTCACCCTGCAGCAAGAATTCGAACAAGTTGTCGTCATCATTCGAGGATGGCGTTCTCATCTTCCTAGCTGTTGGTGAATCCTTGGACTGTTTACTAGAGTCTGGTGTCGGACTTCCCACCTTTGGAACGCCCTTCAGTACGGGAGTCTTATCGGTACCCGTGTTCTCATGCCCATTGGTCAGCTTTGAGTCTACAACGTTTTCGTCTTCAGTTTTCTCGTTTCCCTGTTCGTCAGCCTTTTCCGCAGCCTTCGCGTCCTTAGGACCAAGTCCTTCTAACCGCTTTATCCTGGCGCGCACACTCTCCCCTCGCTTGCGAGCAAATCCACTCCGAATATCCCCCAGGAGTTTGTCGACGATCGGGCCGGTGTCCTTCTCCTCCGGCTCGGGGCTGGGTTCTCTCTCCGGGAGGAGGGAGGAGACGGAGCCGGTGAGAGCGAGCGAGTGTCTCCGCTGACTCCGGGCTGACTCCAGCAGGTCCTGCTCCTTACGACGCTGCTCCTCCCGCTCCTCCTTGATCTGACGCTCCTTGTTCTCCTGCGAAGGTAAAGAAAAGAAGACGATTACTAAAGGCTTCTTGATAGGTACCATTTCAATTATTGCATTATAAACTTGAAACTATTGCTAACAAAACTGGATGTTTTTGTGAGAGTAGCTACATCTATAGCCCAAGAAGTATTAGCCTGGGTGCCAGCCCCTACCGAGAGTGAGAGATAACCCCTTCGGGAAGGGAAAGCTACACGCCCCGCCGACCCTGATTTGCGCTCTGGCTCTAATTATCTCCTCGTGTTATAAAGGGTTTGGGGCAGCCTGTGGTTGGGCGGCGGATACAGTAGCGGACATTAGGGCTTCTTTCCACAAAAAAAAAATCTATAGCTTATGAACGCCAGCGTCTGGCACCCAGGCTAAAGAAGTATCAAAATCTTCTAAAAGGAAATAAGCACAGATGTGGAAATATCAGTCTAAGAAACTTTTATGTAAACGTAATTTATATGTATCAAGCGGTTACATGACCAGAAGGCTACATATCGTAAAGTATGTGACAATGTTGTTATTATGTTCTCACCTCGATAGCTTTCTTGAACCTCTGTGTGAACTGGTGAAACACGCTGAAGCACTCCTCGATCTTGAAGAGGGTCTCATCCTCGCAGAAGAACTCTGCCAGCTTCTTACGCAGCTTCTCCAGCTTCTTCATCCCGGACTGGAGGTCTTCGACATCCATCTTAGCCGTCTGGAGAGGAAGATGAATAAATGTTTATTAGAGTTAAAACTTTTGATTTAACACAAAGTTCTCTCACCTAGAGCTTTCGACCAGTCACTCTGGCCTTCCTCAGTAGACTGACCCAGTGAGGCTTCTTTGAAGTGTGACGTCAACACTGGGTCAAAGATAGACGATGTCGGCCCCCGTCGCGGTGATGAAATGGTATTATTTTACCCTTGTAACATACAGATCTAAGGTTTAGCTATTTTATTTTGGTAACAATAAGTTCTATATAGAGAATGTGTTGGCACAGGAAAACAACATCAATACCATACGCCATGTAAGTTTCCCAGTTTTCGACATTTAGATAGAACCAAAAAAATTCGTATTCCTTATCAAATAAGACAAATCATGTCTAGTAAGTTCAATATGTTCATACATCCACAACTGCCTTTTAAGAATCGAGAAGAAGTCGAGCCTGTACATAGTAGTTCACATCGGTCTGTACATGTTTAGTAATTTCTATAGTATTTCTGCTTTATTCATGACATGTACTTAGCTTGTAAGATCATAAACGAATGTACGTTTGTGCTCTAACAAGCTAAGTACAGGTCATGAATAGACAAAGGATACAGCAATGACACTTAAAATATACATACTAATGTGATCTACTATTTACATGTTCAACTTCATCTCGCTTCTTGACGCAGTTATAGATGTACGAGCATATAGAACTAATGATACATGGTTTGTCAAGTTTCATAAGAAATATGAATTTTTCTGATTCATCTAAATGTCCAAACCTGGGGAACTTATCTATTATATAAGAATATAGGGAATCCCTCTCATTACTATATAACGTACAATCGACTACAAAATGATACTCATCCTCAATCTTATCTAAAACGCAAAATTGGCAAATCCTTTGCTCTAGAGGAATGTGGTTGTGCCTGCCTTTTTCTATGTGGAGTACAGCTAAACATATTTCATTTAATTCATTAAACGAGGGTTTACAGTTGGACAGAAAGATGTCTTACCCTGAGGAAATCCATCAGCTGAATTCTGACGTCACGATGAGCCTTCTCTAACTGTTTGTCCACCGACTTTGTCTTCTCGGCCAGTTGTTTCACCTCAGTGTTGATGTTCTCAACAGAGTGTCTGCAACGAGAGAGAATGGGTTAGTGAGATGTCAATGAGATGCAAGCATTTTTACATACGCATTATGATTTGGTATGGTCTACAACAACTTAGAGTATGTTGCTCAAATGCCATACTGCTGTGACAAGCATTAATCACGATCGAAACCATCGATCAGGAAGCCCGCAACGCCCACCGGAAGATCAAGGAGGCCATACACATCCAACTAGTGGGAGCCAAGCTGAACCGCAACGAAGGCTGGGAGCTGCCAAAGCCCTACCTACCTCTACTCCGCAAGGAGGCAGAGGGGGGCAGAAGATCCACGCAAGTCTCGTCCTAGTCTCGCGTTCTCTCGCGAGACTAGGATCATTCCGTGACCAAGACGAACTGACTAGTCGTCGAAAATTCGGAGGTATGTACCTTAGGATTTTAATAGTCACTGATTGAAAGAATTATCTTACTGAACTTATACTATACGTGACTGATGAATCTCTTCAACGATTAATCACCTTTTATTTACGGATCTAAATAATAGATGTTTTCTCCATTTGCTCCGGCAATCTGCTAATGGTAAGTTCGAATAATGAAACAAACTCAGGCGAAAAGCCATTCTTACCTTGAAGCTTCTTCCAGTGTTTTCAGCTGAGCGTCAACTTGTAGGAGCTTCTTGTCCTTCTTCTCCGCTTGCTGTAGAGATATATATAAAGGTATCACTAAACGTACTGTCGGAAATAGAGAAATAGCCAAAGAGGAATTATATAAGATAAATGGCGAGAAAGTTTTCATTTTTCCATTTCCTTTGTTAGTTACCATCTACGGAAACAGTAAGAACTTTGCTAGCCTATTCATATCTACCAGACATGTACTATGTATTTGTACTTGTTAGAAACAGTACTCACCAAAGCTACGTAGTGCATGAAGTTCATGCCTGGCTTGTTGGCGCGGGTGTCCACAAGTTTCAGAAGGGACGCCATCTTGAATCCAACAGCATTTCCAGCGTACCCACCCTGTAAGGTACAAACATTTAGTCAACGACATTATCGAGGAACGGTTCTCATAATAGCTTTATTTTGTCGTACAATCAGGTTGTAGACGACGTCAGAATCACTACAACTGTTCCTATCTATGCTCTTCGATGCCTAGTACAAGTAGTATTGTGTTGCAGTTCTTCGAAAAGCGCTATGTGGCGCCCATGTGTTATAAGGTGTATACTTTCCTTATCATGAGTACATCATGTATACTTACAGCATTGATGTAGTTGCCCGTTATTAGCACAATGTGGAGGATATCTTGTAAGGCTTTGCACTTGAGGAGTTCTGTAAAACACAGGGAAGAAACAGGCCTTAGTAAGTAAGTAAGAGAAGTATCATTACATCGTAACATAACCGTCTGTAAGCCCTTACCATTCTGTGTGCAAAAAAAAAACAAAGCATATAGAAAATGAACTTCATTTTGTAATGGAATGTACCAAATATGATGTTATACGTAACAAGCTATTTACGTTTCTCGAATCAAGTACAACAGATTTCAAGAGTTTTGATGTTGGAGACAGATTTGAATATATCTTTACATGTAATGGTCCCCACAACGCAAAAATAGGTAGATATATAAAGGATTGCTTTTAGAAAAAATACCGAAACTTGTGATTAGCCCACTCGATTGTAACACTTTATCAAAGACCTCTGGTATCCCTTATTATTTGAATAATTATGATATAGATATGTTAGGTTTTATTCGACATTAGGTCTTATTCAACACACTTTCTTTATTGTTGTTACTCTCTTTATGTAGTTTTCCATACATTGTACCATGTGCAATTGTCGTGCAATAAAGTTCTCTCTGTATATTCTGTCTAGCATTCGATGCCAAATACTATAGTAAAGCATTACAAGTATGACATATACATGTGATACAAACATGATCTACCTACTGTGTAATTGCTCTTGGAAGAGTCTAACCTGCTTTGACAGTTTCACAATTACTTTCCGTTGACTGAACAACCAAAAAGTTCAGATATAATTGTCGATTACATCAGCAACTATCAAAAAGCGACCGGTTCATCAGGGTTCAGTTCTCAAAATGAAAAGAACCGACCGTTGCCATGGTGATGACTTTTTTACGGACAATTAATTAATTTGCATAATTAGGTCAGGCAAAATCACGTGTTGCCCCCTATGCATACGCATGCGCTGAGAGTAAAAGACAAGATAATTGCAAAGGTGTTTCCACTGCTTTCGCTTCCAGTGACCTTATATTAAACGGGTTTTAACACAGTCTATTGGATACACAAGGTAAGGCCATACCAATTTAATTTCTTGGTTAACGGATTTTTCTAGAAAAATAATTGAGCGGGCGGGCATAAAAAAAATAAAAACAGGCCTAGGCATCCTATTATAGGCCAAAATGGTACGATAGGAGCCATGAAGTCAACACACCAGGCTGGTTCAAAATTTAAACAATGAATTTTTAACTTTTAATGACACCACTGATAATGATAATGATTGACCGATACTGCTTCACATTAGCACATTTGAATCAGCATTTCATACTTTTGGGCGTTTAGACCAGCAGAAACAAGCGTCAATATGAGTCCTTTATTTTCTGGGTGGTACCCTAAAAATCAGCCCAGGGCCCTTCCAGTAACAATTTTCCGTCAGAAGTTTGGGAATTTTTGCTCCATGACGGTCAATATACATTGGGGTAGTGTGGTTTCAACTCAGTAAAGGACTAGAACATTGGTTTTGTAAAATCCGGTTTCCAAGCCCTAAAACAGCATTGGATGCCTCGAAAAGGTAACAGACAGACTTCTTACCTTCCCCAGCTTTAATCATGGTGTCTATGGAAGGTTCGAGGTAGTCTACGGTGGAGTTGAGTTCTTCCTTCAGCAGCATGCCGTCTATGCGAAGCTTGTAACTGAAAGAAAACAATAACAAGAATATTTAATTTCACAAACATTTAATGTCACAAAAAGGAATAATAACAGTGTCCTTCATTCAACGTTTTAAGTGCAATCATTGTTAGAAACATCTAGAAATAAATAGGACGAATTTGGTAAAATTTAACCCGTAAGGCCATGTTGATTTGATTATATGGATGACATCCTCTGGGGACCCCAAAACTGATGCGAGCGTGCGAATAAAAAAAAAGTTTTGCAAAAAAAAAGTTAGCTTTCATCATGAAATCTACGTGGTCATGAAGGTTGAACAAAGGACACAGAGTATGGTTTGGCGAATAATCTACACTCCAAATCCATTTCTTCATATTTTCGTCTTTTTCATTTAATTTTGGCATTCTACGACAATGGTGTCATTTTCAAATATTTTTTTTTGTACCTTACGGTATATATTTGCTCATTTTGCAACTGTTAATTGTATGATTTACAGTATGATTGAAAACTTTTTTTTTGGAAACGGCCGAAAATTCATGCGCGCGCGGATGTCATCCATATAATCAAATCAACATGGCCTAAGTAGTTAAAACTACGATTGGTGGATATTGTCATAATATTATCCCATTGATACTGGGGGAATTGTACATCTGTGTAATTATTTTCATGTGCCTTTCAATTCAGTTTAAAGGAAAAAGAAATATGACGTCGCCTCAAACTTTATGTTTATCATCAATTCTGACGAATATGTGAACATCAAACTCCCACGTAGAGTCGTATATCAAACGTTTCCTGTCGTAAGTTAAAGTTGAAATGCTGTTCCGGTGATTTCCACTCGGAAACACGTATTAAGTCTAAAGTAGGTTGTTGACCCGGTGTGACGATCTACAGGAACATCCACTCCACACATCTTAAAGTTAAATTGTGCACAACATGATAAATCTGTGCATGGGTCACATACGAGAGGGCCCGACCGCCCCCCTCCCCCAATCACAAGGTCGCAGCACACAGTATTAATGGGCGCGGGTATAGAAAGTAGTACAGCGAATATTCTTGAAGGCTGGGTAGAAAACCTGATAAGAGCGTCAGCCAGATGTAAATTGCGCTGTGTGGTGTAGGAATGTATCGGGTTGGAGACTGTATGATTTGAATTGTGAAGGTTTTGCAGTTCGTGTATAAATGCGCCGTATTGCGCAACTGGCTTTCCGGGTGAGTCGGCTGCAGTTCAGGTCACTTCCGTTGAGGGCGATTTCAAAGTGTACGTTACGAGCAGATACGCCGACAGGATTTTGTGGTTTCTAGATATTTTGTAGTTTGTACCTTCTTCTCAAACATATTTGATTTTTCGTATTTGTGAAGTGCACTCTACTATATTTTTTACCGCGTCGAAGTGAGTCATCTTTGGGTGCTTAACTATAGAAATCCCCATAGGGCGAAAACTGTGTTCTGCTACCTCAACCCGACAGGCTTCCCAGCAAATCCCACCAGCTGTAATAACTTATAAACAGCCGTCAAACTAAATCTTCAAGTTATACTTGACCTCCCCTTTACCGAGCGCCACCCCCTGACATTTAATATCCAATCCAGTATTCTGGGTCAGATGAGCCCAATGCGATTTGCCGCTTGACAGACGAAGCTTGGGGAACGGTTTTTGGGACGGCGGCCAGGGATGACGTAATGCCTTTTTCTGTGTAAGGCCACACCGACTTAATTTTATGGATGACATCCGCGCGCGCATTGATTTTCGCCTGTTCTACAAAAAAAAAAAAAAAAAAGATCACGTCCCCCGAGGCTCTGGCCTGGCTCTAGGCCTGGGTAGTCCATGGTAGTTAGCTAGTTAGCGACAATACGGATCCGGGCACCCAGGCTACCGAAGCTCCACGACTCAAGATCTCAGTACATACGTACATTGCCGACAACAGACGTACTCATTTTCACCTGAGTAAAGTGAGGAAATTCGTGTAAAGTGCCTTTCCCAATTGCACAAGACCGGCTTGCATGGCAGGATTCGAACTCAGGACATAATGGTTCTGAGCCGAACGCTCTGTCGTCACGCCACACTACCCCACAATATTTGCTGTTGCTATGGCAACGTCACGTGTAAGAAATGTGCCTGAAATCGTACCAAAGAAGAAAACGTGTCGATTGTAACGTAGTCTCAGCTTACGGCCGATTGTATCCGAACAAAGGGACGGCAATAGGGAAATGTTCCCTTTGATAAACTTAATCCCGTGATTGAGTGTTGTAATGCATTTGTATCCAAACTTTTACACTTGTTATCGACTGTTTGCCGGTTTGATAATCTTGATGGCCATTAAGGGCTTTCATTGCCGTCCCTTCCGTGATACCGTGGACAATACGTTTCTAGATTCGCAGGCAAGCAAACCCGCCGTTATAATCTGTTAGCAAAAACGTAGTTTTATCGAAAAAGGAACTTCCTTTAGTGAAAGTCACGACAGCATTTCGGTGGAATAGTAGTTTTGGGAAACAAACTTACTGGACTAGTATTAAAATGCGCTCCATACAATGATTTATACTGAATTCATGATTTTTTCACTGTACTTTTATGTTCACTGTTTTCACTGTCACTGCTGTACAGTGAACTTACCATTACAGTTAACAAATAATTCCTTCACTTTCTTATTCCTGCACCTGTCGCCACCGTGAACATATAGTTCCGTGAACATGTCCATTTTTTGTCAGACCGTGAACTTTTGCTACCGTGAACATAAAGAGAATTAAAGTAATCTTTTCCGCTACAATAATGTTGTTTCGGGAATACGTCAAAGACCACCAACCATAACTGCGGTAAGTTCATTTGTATCGGGTATCTTAATTGGAAACAGTATTTCCTGTACATGTTATAAGGTCAAACCAATTGCAAGTAATTTTTTATGGATGACGTCCGCGCGCGCATTGATTTTGGCCTGTTCCCAGAAAAAAACAAGAAATTCCGCTTCCTGTAACTATGACCAAAGAGTCACGACAGTGCCGCAAATATTAAGATGGGAAGATGTGAGGAAAGGAAAGAAACAGGACAGGAAGACAACTGCTGTTCCACCTGATTTATTGCTGTTTTTTGACGAATAAAAGACTTGTTGGTTGTTACACTGTGTTCTCTCATTCAATTTGTGTCCTAACATTTGTCGTCTCTTAGTATATTTCAAATCTAGGTCTCTTGTTTTTTTCGGCCCTTCTTGTTTTGTTTTTGCAATCTCGCAGTAGATTTAGGGTCTCCAGAGGACGTCATCCTTGACAAAAATTACTTGGTGTGGTCTAAGGTCACTGAAGTGTGTCTCACTAACAGCGAGAACACGCGAAAAGCCGGCGGCTTGGCCGGACGTCGGCCCTCCGTCCAACCGCCGCTAAACGGTCTGATTTTCCCACCGAACGTTAACGCGATAATTACCGGGCCATGGGACCGTCTCAGACGGCACAAACTTGTGCAGCGACCGTGTCAATCATTCTGGGCGCTCCTCTTTGAAGCGCCGTGACCTCTGGCACGACAGACAATGGATAATAGCTATCTTTACGCAGGTTTACGTTGGATTGAATCTTCATCTATATAACGACCTTAGCAACAATGGGGGACAATGTAGACATTGTACTAGGCATTAAGACAGAGAGGGCATCATTTACAGCATTGTCTGTCCATCTTCACTCAGCTTTTGAAATGTGTGTCCTCATGAGGACATATTATAAAATTTACATATATGTCGATTTATAATCGTTAACTTGATCTTTCTTTATCATAGCTACACGCGTTCTGAAATGTTGATGGTGTTCCAACATAGGTTCTTTCATATCAGTGTGTCGTGGTCATCTCACAAAGAAGGGCTTAACCGTCTTAATACAATTACCATGTACACCGCCCATCAATATAGTACACCGCCCTGTTCCCTATGTACGTAAAGCCTGTTCTCAAAAAAAAAAAAA